CCTCCCTACTCACCTGATCTGGCCCCCAATGACTTCTTTCTTTACCTGAAAATAAAGGAAATATTGAAAGGAAGACATTTTGATGACATTCAGGACACCAAGGGTAATACAACGACAGGTCTCATGGCCATTCCAGAAAAAGAGTTTCAAAATTGCTTTGAAGGGTGGACTAGGCACAGGCATCAATGCAAAGCTTCCCAATGGGAGTACTTCGAAGGTGACCATAGTGATATTCAGCAATGAAGTATGTAGTACTTTTTCTAGGATGAGTTTGCAAACTTAATTGTCTGACCTCATATGTCTTTGGGTGTGTTTTGTGGCTGACTACACACACAGGGATGTTTTAAGTACTGTTAACTGAATTTATTGTCTAATAAAACATTATTTATTCTGTATCAGTAGAAAGTCTTAATCACAGACTTTTAAAAAAGAATTGTAGCTTACTAGTCACACACTTAATATAACACAGTCTTAAAAGCTAATGATTGACTTTTCTAAGTTAATGTCCCATGGTTCTAAATTTCTGTGGTCCTTGTATAACAAAGATATATAATCTATTAGTACATGCTAACATTATAATATTAGTGTGATGATGAATACATGTATCTGCATAAGTAAACAATATTAAGTGCTTTAAAACAATTTATTTTCATAGCATTTCTCCCTACAATAATGGTAACTTTATTAGCAATGTAAAACTTTGGTGAATTACCACAAAATCAATATCAACATAGACCTTCAGTAAGAATATAATGCTCTTTGCGTATTATACAACAGAGCTTAAGTTTAGCTTGTCATATATGAAGTTATTGTAAGATATGTTTTAGAGTAACAGAAAGTAGTTTTGCTTCCACCTATGCCCTCTACCTATTATTTTAGAAGTAAATTCATAGAATCTGTTTAGACCTCTTGAAATGATTGTAGAAGTTATGAACCAGCTGACTTTGGCACGTACCTTGATTTAATAAGTGAGGAAATGTGGGCCCAGAGAGATTAGGCGAACTTTCCACAGTCCTGGTGCCTGAGCTACATTTCCTGATTAACCACCCAGAGTTTTTCTTCGTTGCTTCCCATCTAGAGGACAGAGAATAAAATTATCTTATCAAATGGCCAGGAAGGGTGTTTTGCTGAATTAATTAGCTTGTAGTCTCTGAACTATGTGTAGCATTTTCATATTTCTCTTTGTTTCAGAATGCAAAGTATGGCGAAATCCACTAAATTTATTTCGGGGCGCTGAATATAATCGGTAAGCATTTTGGCAGCTTGCGAGACAAATGGGTCTAGTTCAGAGAGCAAAGACAGCAGCACATGTTTTTCTGGTTCATTCAGGGGTCATTGTAAGAGTCTGCTTAGTGCTTCCATTTTTTGTTACTATTCTCAAATGTTGTGATTTTTCTGTTTTACAAATATTTTAGCACTGAAATTGGGATAATGTACAAAAATGTGTAGCTTTTAGAAATTTTCTATTATAGTTACTCTTTTTATTACATATTATACAGTCAAAATATTTTGAAGCTTACCTGGTACATGGTTATAAAGATGCTATAGAAGTTATGTTGAAATTTAGGTTTGCAGAGTAATTAGGCAACTCAGAATTGTCATAGCTTTGGGGAAATGTCTAGTCATAATACTAATTAGGGATGGTTTTCATCAGCTGGTGCTAGTAAAATTTTTATGATAAAAATACAAGGGAAAATGTTCACTTCTTTCCTATTGATATACTTCCTAAAGGGAGACTAGGGTGACTTAATATATAAAATACCGGGGGTGCCAAAAAAATGTATACACATGACTTGTATTCTTCTTTTGTTATCAGTATATATTGAGTATTACAATTTTAATACAGTTTTTTCCTTTCTTAAAATGTGTATACATTTTTGGCACCCTCTGTACACACACACACACACACACTTTTTTATTTATTGGCAAAGTTTGAGTACTCAGTTAATGGTTGATAGTTGAACTCCTGTGAAGCTTAATATTTTGTAGGTATTGCTTTCCTCTCTCAAGCGTGTCTGACAATATTGCTTTGCCTTTACAGGTACACTTGGGTGACAGGACGAGAGCCTCTGACTTACTATGACATGAACCTCTCTGCCCAGGACCACCAGACTTTCTTTACTTGTGACTCGGACCATCTGCGTCCTGCAGATGCAAGTATGGAAAATCCTTTAGTTAGTTGCTAAGTAGGATGGCCTTTTGGTCTTTTTTAAGTTTCAAGGTTACTACTTTTGAAGTATCTGCTCTATAAAAACCGCAATGAAAAAAATATTAAATTAGAGATTGACCAGTAGAACCCAGAATTCTGATACCTAAATAAAGACTTTATCACAATGAAGTGTAGAAATGAGTCCCCTTTATAATTTCAATTATTATTTTTAAAAAATACTAAAGTTGGATTTACATGTTTTAAAGAAATATAAATCTTACATGAAGCTAATTGAATTCTTGGTTGAGCTAGAATGAAGAATCATCTGTTCTTGATGATATTCTAGTTAGAAATTGGGATTTCGTGAATCTAAATGATTAACAAATCTATTGTAGTGATTTATATGCCTATTTATTGGTTCACTGGCATTGAGTGGTGACATGGCCTTGTCTGTTGGAATCCATATTTGTTTTCCATCCTAGAAAAGACTTTGTTGAACATGCATTTGACACTGCTTGAGTCCTAAATAATCCTACTGATATATATATATTTTTTTAAGATTTTTATTGGAGAATTGGGGGGATGGGAACAGTGCTGGGGAATTGGGGGAAGGGGAACAGACAAGTTGCTGTCGTTTTGTTCTTCAGTCTAGTTGTGGAGGACGTTGCTTCACTGGCCTAAGTTGTCACCATCATTGTGCTCTTCCCGGGTGAGGCAGATCAGTCGCCGGCTTCTGGACGGCCGCTCACTGCGGCTGCTGGCCGCTCACGCTGGCTGCTGGCTACATACGGGAGCCAATGGCAACCCACTGCCACAGGGCCTGCAGCCCACACCGTCCCGGCGACTCACGGCAGCCCAGCTCCAGGTTGAGCTGTTGTTCAGCATCTTAGCTGTGGAGGGCAGTGTCACTGGCCCTCATATGTGGGATCCGAACCGGGGCCCTCTGGCATCCCAAGCCAGTTCTTAACCATCGCGCCACTCGGCCGGCCCATCCTACTGATATTTTTGATATTACCAATTGTAAAGTAAATAGGCGAAAATAAATCTTTAAGAAAAGGAATATATACATACTCCTAAGAAACTAACCTAGAAGACACAAATTTATAAAACAAATAGGGAGACTGTTACTCTTTTTTTGGGAGGTACTCTTTGCCCTGCTGGGACATCAGAGCATTGGGTTTCCCGCAGTATACTCAGACACTGCTCCGGTTTATGAAAAACGGGTGGGCAGCAAACTGGGAACAGGTACACATATTAAGCAAGAGCCTAAAGCACTTTCTTCTGACCCAACTCATAATTCTTCAAATGGTTTTAAAGTGTTCTAATAGCTACAGCCTGTGGCAAGTGATTTGGAAAATGACCAATAGAAATTATGTTGTGCCTCCGGAGAAGGGTAGGATTTGCAGCCATGCCATCTCAAAATGTGTAAAAGAACATACATTCTCTAACAACAAATAGCATAATGAGCAAAAGAAACATTAAAGCTCCGTTACAGTGCCTTTTCTTTTGATTAAGAAGTCTTAATGAAGATTACGTCTCTAAAATTATAGACTATGCATTCGTCTAAAAGATTTAGTTCTGTAGTTTTATGAGCACAAGAAAGATTTGAAGGACAATTGAATAGCAAATTAGAAGGTATTTGTGTGGTGTTGGAGGTTTGGGCCGACTCTTTCGGTAAGTGAAATATTCTCTTGTAACTCAAGCTGAAAGCTATCAGTTTAGCTATTGTCCTGTATTGAGTCTTCCTAATTATGTGTATTGTATGACTTGCTTTATTCTGTTTTTCCAAAATAGTAATGCAGAAAGCCTGGCGAGAGAGAAATCCCCAAGCTAGGATTTCTGCAGCTCATGAAGCCTTAGAGATAAATGAGTAAGTGGGGGAAAATCTTGCTTTTAAAACAGAAATCGCATTCTTTGCTAAATGTATTCAGTTGCCATTGATGGGAGACTGATATTAAGCTATGCAATTGAACTTGAGGATTTTTGGGAGGGGCATTAGTTTATAAAAACAGTTTATGTGGGATACCCATGTGAAGGTGGTTTTAGCCATTTTAGAGAGTCATTCAGTGGTTTTGCTTTATCCTAAATTAAATCCTTCAAGGGCTATCCTGGGATGAGTACGTAAAATAAATATAGTTATTTACATGTCTAAAACATTTTGACAGGGAAATTCTTATAGATGTAGAATGCTCATCTGTGCCATCACGTTTTCTAGCTAGAACTTCTTCTACTAGTGGGGAAAATGAAAACATAAGGTGAAAAAATGACACTTCAAAAATATTTCAAGATCAAGGCACAGATGAGAGGAAGGGCTGCCCTTCGTGTTGTTAAACATTCTGTGGGTCACCAAGGAAGGCTGGGAAACCTCTCCTGGAGATCTCAGAAAATGCGAAAGATTCTTACAATTGGAGTCATAGAGCTCAGGGACCTTAAAGGTCATTTAGCTCAGCCACCCATCTGGTGCCTGAATCACCTCGACACTCTCCCTGCCAAGTGGTCATTGGTAAACTATTTTATGACTTTTTTTCAGAAGAAGTTTATAGAATCTTCTTCAGCAGACTTAGGAAAAAGAGTCACTTGAGAGTTGGAAATCCTGCCATTTTAACTGGTTGATCTATTTGGTTTCGGATTCTGTCATGCAACATGTTTATTTTCCAGTTTCTTATCATCTACAAATTCGATATGCCTGCCTTCTGTGTGTCATCAATGTTTCTGATAAAAATATCAGGGTCAGGGAAGGATCCCTGTGATATGACATATACAAACCACCCTTCAGGTTCAGGTCTTCGTGAGTTGCTATCCTTGGGTATTGTTTGACCAATTACTAAGCCACCGGTAGCACCGTGATTCAGCCCATATTTCTCCATTGTGCTCTTAAGAATGCTAGTTATAGCCATGGCTCTTTAATGGATAGTGAATCTATTAGAGTAAACTAAGCCAGCACAAATGGACTGTTTTGGTCTTAGTGAATTTAAGCTAGCTCTGACGTTCATGACTTTCTTTTTAAAATGCTTAGAGACCATCCCTTTCATAATTCATTAGAATATCTTTCCAAATCACTGTTCTGTAGTTTGGGAAGTCTGCTCTCTTCCCCTGTTTGCACATTTATACTACATTTGTCATCTCATCTTCTAGTACCTCTCCATCCTTGTGAATCCTCAGTTATCCACCGAGAGCAGTTCCTTGGCCTGCCCGCAGCCTCTGTTGGCTTCCTGGGATTTACCCATCCCAGCACAGTAATTCATTTAGATAGACCAGTATGTGCTATCTTACATCTTTTTTTGAAACCTATTTTAATGTTTAATTTCTTTTCCCTTTTTCAATCTGACAATCATTCTCTTTGATGCAGAATCCAGGAACAAAATAGGCATTAGAGATTGTGCTTTCTCTTTATTATCTACTGCTACTAACTGTAAACTTTCCTTGTTTTGTTGTTGTATTGCTTTTTACTTATTTTTGTGGTGATTTTGGAGACATTGGGGTGGTGATAAGGTCTTAAATATAATTTAAAAACAGGAAATAGATGGTTGTCTTTAGCATTTTGTTTTGTTCTATCTTTATTTTGTTTAGCTAATTTGGAGTTTTAGCTCTCCCGATATTCTTATAAGCTCATTCCACTCTTTTATAGTCCTTCATTACATGCCCTCTTTCCATCTTTTTAAACAAGTCCTTTAAAAATCTGACCTGTGAGAGATCTTCATGCAGCCATATTGGTTACTTACCTATTGCCCCTCTTTGCTTCCTGAGAGGACCATTGTGATTGCAGTCACTGTTGGACATTTGGAAGCTACTCAGCCTTCTTCAAAACATTGTTCCTTCTGAGACTCGTGCCATTGAATCATGCTTCTTTTCTTTGAATTTTTAGAAGTCTACCTTACCCTCTTTGATTACCCTCAACTCCAAAATGACATAGTAAACTCTCTCTGAATGTTTCTATCAATTTTCATTTCACCAACTATTTTTTTCTTCTTGGTCAGAATTAGGTCCAGAGTTGAAGTTCCCCTAATTGCTTCCTCTACCATCTGGGAGATAAAATTGTTACCAAAGTAAGTCAAGAACCTGTTGGGTGCCCTGTTTCTAACCACATGAGACTTGTAGCAAATATCTGGATGGTCGACACCCCCATCACCACACTTCTTGCTTCTGTATGTGTATTGTGTTGTGACAAGGATGCATCGTCTCTCTCTTCCATCAGCTGAGCAGTCTGCTCTGTACCCCAACCATTAGCACTTCTGTTGCTCTCTCCTTTCTCCTTCACTCACAAGCTCTTAGCATGTTTCTACCCCAGACTCATGAGTTTCCACATGGATGTATGTTTTCTTGGCCAGTGGTGCTACTCTGCCTCTCCTAAGATACTATTTGAAATATAAACAAAGCACGCAAGCTAGCCCTGACTGGTCTTGAGTTCTCAGCCCACCAACTATAATCTTATAGCTAATTCCTCTGATACTGTATCTGCCACTCAGAATTATACTCTCGATTTTCACTTCATTACCCTTGACCCATATTTATATGTCGGCACCTGGAGCCTTAAGTGTTGCTTCCTGATGCCGATCCCAGTTATTTTCTCTGGTGAATTACTGGGCAGTTTCAGCATCATTACAGTTCTTTCCAAGTCATATCTACTGCCCTCCGTAGTAATTGGCTTACTACAGCTTTTTGCCTGGACATCCCCCCCCCTCCCCCGCCCCAACCTCACCACATTGCATTTAAAGCCCCATTGAGCAGTCCTGCCTGAAAGGAGGAGGATTGGCTAAGAACTTACAAGACCTCTCCTCAAGGCTAACGTTAACAAGTAACCCCAAATCTCACATGAGCCGTAAGTTCAGCCTCCTTTCTGAACTGGCCACTGCGGTTTATGAATAGTAAAAGTGACATTTCGTTTTGCTTTCTGTTTATTTTCTCTCTTGTGGTCTGATGGAGGTTCTGTTAAGTAGGGAAGTGACCACAGAGAAGCAGTGGAGGAGAAGGAAAGCAAAGGGGTCCGTGCAGCTGAGGACCTGTGTGGTCGGCTCCGGCCTCAGTGTTTCCCTAGTACGTTCCCTTTCTTTTGGCAGTTGGCTTGTTCTCATATGGTGTGGAAGGTTTAAATTTCCAGGAGCTCCCCTGTTTGTTAGTGAACTGCTCGTCCTTTCTGGCTCCCTACCTTAGAGGGTTGTTGAAAGGATTAAATGAGACGATATATGTTAAGTGCCTGGTACAGTGCTTAATGTATACAAAGCAACAAGTGGAGCTGTGACTGTTGAAGGCATGAGGTGTAACTCTTATTTGCTGCTGAGGCCGAATAAAATGGTGAGCTCTTCAGAAATAGCCCTGCCCGTAGGCTGTCCTCGTGCGCATCTCGGACTAGAATACCAGCGCTCACTGTAACGAGAAACTGCTTTGTCCAATGAGTCACCTCCTTGTTTTACCGAATCTGTGTTTGACAATAGAGACTCTGTTCAGTAAAAGAAGAAAACTTATGTACAGCCCCTGCACCTGTGAGTGTCGGGAGGCGCTGTGTAATGCCGTTGTTAGCTCCGCCTTCGGCAGGTGACATGCACTGAGCATGCGCCGCCTGCTGGCTCCTGTACTGAGCACTTTCCATGCATCAGCTTACTTAACCTGACAACAACGCTGACTACAGAGCGGCCATGTTGTTCTCCGCCAGGGAGGCAGAGTAATAACTTCCCAAAGCGACACACTGATAGAGGGCAGAGTCCACGCGTGAGCCCACGCTCCTAACACCGTGCATCCTCCCTCTCGAGCTAAAATGCAGACATTCCTTTTGTACCATTATTTTGTGTCAACAACTACACCAGGGGTGCATGAACCAGGCGGCCACTCTGCATGTTGTGACGTTACCTCCTCGCCCTTGTGCATGCACTCACTCGGCTGTCACAATGTGCTTGAATTTGGAACTGATGATGGCTCTTATCTGAATGGACAGGTGTGCAACTGCTTATATTCTCTTGGCTGAAGAGGAAGCGACAACCATTGCCGAAGCAGAGAAGCTCTTTAAGCAGGCCCTGAAGGCTGGGGACGGCTGTTACCGGCGTTCCCAGCAGCTACAGCATCACGGATCCCAGTACGAAGCCCAACATAGTAAGGTTTCCTCCCGCCGACATGCGGGATCAGAACTGTAACATGATTAATCCGAGCAAATTTTCAGGCCAGTTCAAAATAATAGTCTACTAGATGGGAATAAATTCTGGTTGTGCCTCTGTTTTTACTCATTTTTTTCCTTCCGGTAAGAGCACAGTACATAATGAGCTTATAGCTGTATTACTGTTCACAGTGATGCTCAGATTCTCTTTTGCCCCATGGAGTCCTAACTCCAGAAATAAATGGTAGTAACCTTTAGTGGTAACCTTTTTTCTCCCCAGAAGTCACATATTTTTGTTTATCATCTGCTTCCTGCCCCATGAATTTTAAGTCCTAGTTGGGAAACAGGACTTAAATTATTGTTAATATTATCAAAGGTTTTGTCTTATGGGTTTTCTACAGCTTAGGTTGAAATAGGACAATTAAGAATATAACTGTTATTGGTGATTGTCTCAGTATTTAGCTCTTATTTAGGAAGCATTGGTATTGGCTTCCAGCGCAAAAGAGCCATGCGTTCCTAATGATTGTATTTATCTTTTTTACGTCAAAAATAATGACTTCTTTTATTTAATATCACTCTTTAAAATGAGACCTTTCACTTCAGTACACAAGCTGAGAGTCAGTGATATTTAAAAAAACAACAAAATTGTTTCTGGAATTCCCCAAGCCCCCTGACCTCTCGGTTTGTTGGTTAAGCAGAAATTTAGTGATCCTCGTGAGAGGGAGTGTTTTCATCATCCATCCTAACTTTGGGTCATTTCCTCAAGGTGGAATTTCTCTCACTTCATTTCTCGCTCCTGCCACTTTGGAGAGGAGTGTATATATTTGAGATTATAAAATTATATTTTAGTGTTAAACTTGGATTTGGTGCAGAAACTGAGTGCATTAGTTCCTGTGACTGAGGTGCAGCTGCCTCTTTGCTTTGTGGCCTGTGCATACATGAGTGTATCCACACAACCCATTACTACACAGGTTTCTATTTTTATTCTGCAGTAAGTCTGTGTTAATCAAATCTCTAATCACCATCTGTATCTTGCATTTAAAAAATATGTATAACAATGAATTTTGAAGACATTATTATAGTAAATGTCTGTTTTGTAAACTAAATAAGAAATAATACATAAAATTACATAACCTATAATATAGCTTAAGAAATTGTCTTTATTTCTTTTCTCCTGTAAATTAAATTCTTTCAACCTATTGCCTAGATCTACCCCCCAAATATAATCACATCTTTAAAATAATTTGTAGGTACTTGGCAGATATTCAGCACACATCTTGTTCTCATTGTTTAAAACTTGAAATGTTAGGACTTGAGTCTTAACATCTTTTAATAGCTCCATATTATACATGTACTTAATCTATAACAGGTGTGTCATATTTTTCTCAAACATGGTAATTTTATTGAGGATTAAGCACACCCATGTTCTCACTGGCCTGAAAACATACCCAAAAAGACATATAATTAAATAAAAGATTAAGATACAAAGTTGTTAATGTACTTTTTAAGGGCCATTTTGGTGACTATTATTATAACTGTTTAGCTTGTCAGTGCTTTCTCTAACACTAGGGTAGTTTTTCATTGTGCTGCATACTCTATTGTCATATCTGGAATGTGTTATATTGCCATCTAAAATCGACTGCTTTGGGGACCTGGAGATGATTATGATGTCACTAGTGTTAGGGAAAGAATAATATAAAACAGAAGTTCAAGATGAGGATTCTCTAGACTTAATGTCAGAAGAAAAAAAATAGTTCATCAGGATGCAACCCGAGACCCTGCTCTGGCACCCTCACCGCAAGCGTGCACACTGGAAGAATGTGGAATTCCTGCTTGTAAACCGTGCAATGTGGGTACATTCGCTTTTCCAGCGCTTTGTGGCAGATGACTTTATCAGACGTTCAGCATCTCCACTCAAAAGCGTGGATTGGGGGATGAGTCCCAGGGTTTGACCTTTGGAAGTCTCAGCACTTTGATTTTGCCCTCTGTGTGTTGGTTCTGCCAGTGAAGCTGTCGAGCTGCTCAGGCCGTCAGGGGACGCCCAGAGCAGGCTGTCCTCTCTAAGGTTCTCCCCACTGTGTGTGGCACGTGGGCCCCTGTATTGCTTCTTGCTGCTCAGCTGGAAGCTCTTGTTTTGTTTTTAATGTTGGTGTTTTATATCTCCCTTTTCAGGACGAGACACCAATGTCTTGGTCTACATCAAAAGGAGGCTAGCAATGTGTGCCAGAAGACTCGGGAGGACCAGGGAAGCAGTGAAAATGATGAGAGATGTGAGTCTCAATTTGTTTGGGAATAGTGACAGTGCACTGAATGGCCGTAGCGGGGAGTAGCAGTGAGGGTGTGCTGGTCCCAGGGGCATTGCGGTCATTCTGCGTGGAGTTCAGCTCTAGCACCCGACTTGCTACATGAGTGATCTCAGCAAGTTACGTAAGTTCTTTGTGCCCTGTTTCCTCATCTGCAGAATGACAGCAACAATAACAATAATAGTTACTACTTAGGATTGTTGCAAAGATTAAATGAGATAATACTTGCAAAGCTTTAAATAGAGTGACTAGCATAGTAAAGAAATCTCAATTAGATATCCTTATTGTTAAACCTTGGGACTGCAGCCAGAAGCCAAGAGTGGGATCAGCCATTTTAGCTAACTGCCGGTTTTCGTGTTTAGTTGTTAACAAATTGCTGCCTTCAAATTTAATAATATTCTGATCTGATCTTATTGTAGTCATTTCAAGCATTTTCCTAGATTCTTGAATTAGGATATTTTATTAGTAGTAGTCAACATAGAAAGAGAGGCAATAGAATTTTAAAGTGAAAGAAAACCAAGAAAGGTTGTTATTATTATTATT